CCTCCCCTCCCGCCCTTTCCCGAGAATCCAGAGCTTTTCTTCCCACTGAATAAATGCTGCTGCACGCTGTTTCTTGGTGCATGGCCACATCCTAGAGGACTGTATCCATTCAAATTGTACTCAAGTGCCTAGCACACGAACCCGGCAGCTCGTGTGGCAAGCACAGCTGATTTCACCGCGAAGGCTGAGCCCTCGATAGCACCCATGATTTAAACTCTCGAGGCTTTTAGTTGCAACATTCAAGTGTGTAAAAAGCTGCGCAATATGATTTGTAAACTGATCCAGGTGTCAACGCCGATCTCAACGCACCGCTGTACCGTCGTCGTTCTCTTTCTCATTTGAATCAACTGGAAGAAGGGTATGCTACTTGAATGTGGTGGTCCATTAGGAATTCAAAGGCTATACAGAGTATAGAAATGGCACCTGCATTCTGCGGGAGCAAACTTTAAAACCAGATACAAGAGTGATCTGCTTTTCATGTTTTTCGAACTTTCACCCCTCCCGAGGCTTCTTAGGAGACCTCCAAGACTTGTTTCTCAGCGACGCCACCAATGCTGCGAACTCTGATTGAAGTCCTCTTTTCTTTTTCTCGAAATCTCCTTGCACAAGCAGCTGGTGTTTCGTTTACTTCCCTGATGCATAGCCCGGGGGAGAATTCGGAACGAAGAATACTGTCTGGAAAATGGTACGAGGTGCATTTTGTGGCATGTACGAGGGTCACGTATAGCTGGCGTAGAACCGGAACAGTCCGTCAAAATCAATGGTGTAAAATGCTTCTACCAATATACAGTTATCTTTGCTTTGGCTGGTCGAGAAAGGGCCGTTGCAGGAGGATGATGAGTAATCTCTTTCCCGAAGAACTACACTTGAGTTGGTTATCTGGGACGATGAACAATGTTGTGAAGTCCTTTCTCAAGTCATTAACTGACCCCATGGTCTTCTCTGAAGTCTGAAGAGTTGGGTGAGGTGGGTAATAGTGGATGCTAGCTGCAGGCAATGAAGGGATGAACCTTGTCCAGATAAATCGCGTCAACCCGGTGCGGTTCGAGCCGAATCAAAGTGGGACAAGGACCTCGATGTGACAAACCTCGGCAATTGGATCGTGAAAAGGATAAGAACCTCGTTGGCGCATAAAGTCTTGGAAAGAGAAGGGTACGTGTGTGTACTCAAGGAGTCTTAAGCCCGAAAACCAGTTCAAATCTTAGCTGAGCCGTTGGGATTGAGTTCATGATTCGTAAAGTAGTGCGCGTTCTCGTCCCCCTCTCCCTCCTCTCGACCCTACCGACTTTCAAACTCGACCTCAACGCTCAGTCAACCAACCTGGCCTCGCCCGCCGCCGCCTTTGTCCCCGTGAGGCAGTTTACCGCTTCTGATACTCGTACCATTTCCGAGGGTGTATATAAGGTACGACACAGTGTAGCGTCGATACTAAATAGTTGTCCCGAGGCTTGCCCAAAACAAACGCTCTCTCAGACGGCCGCCACGTTCTCACAACGCCGTCAGAACTCTCCTCCAAGTATTGACAATAGAAACATGTAGAAGTTCTGCCCGCCGCCCTCGTCCAAGTGTTAGATTGGCAGCAGCGCCATTGGCGTCGCAATGCCAGATTCCCGGGCCATAGCAGCACGAAAAAAAGTCGCTCTCGGCCGATCCCCCCTTACCCGATACGGTTCTCGTGTAAAATACCTAGCGCTCACGGTAAGCGGCACGCGAACCAAGTTTTCGGATGCGATGCCCACCGACAAAACGAGCTTTCATCAACGGACAACTTGTCTAGGGGCTTTTCGGCCGGAAGAGTGTCTAGCCTCACGTGGGCCACTCAGCCCCGGCGCCACGATTGGGAACCAGACCGCATTCTGGCCAGAATGTCGATGACGCTTTGGCCAACATCGACCGATGCCCCACCGCATCGGATTCACAAATTTGGCAAAGGAGGGGAGGCTAAAATGCCCATAGTCTCTGGTGAGGCTGGCTTTTGGTGCTGTCAGAATGGCCCCAATGACCTGAATATCGCGTGGCAGTTCGAGTCCGTGAGTCCCCTAGGGTAAAGGCTAAAAATCCGGTGGCTTGCTGTCGATGTGTGAATTCGTTGTTAAGCAAGACATCATGAAACGAGACAGATTGGTTGGCAATAGCCGGATGCGTCCCTTTTTTTTTGTTTTTGGGAAATTCAAGACTCGATAGATGGTAAAGTCGGTGATTGCCGTTGTTGAATTGGTTGCTTTGGTGCGCTGTCTGGCGGGCTCCAGTCGAAGGTATTCCCTTCGGTATGGTTTCATGCATTTTCTCACTTTCACAAACGCGATTGAAACTTCATCAGTAGGAGTCTTGAAGATGGGAGGCGCTGCTTGGAGTTGACATCGGTGGCTTCTTCGCGTCATGTAGCATCATTAGAGAGGCTGAACCATGGCAAATTGATACATTCTGCAAAGTCTAACCCAAAAACTCATTCCATGTCTTGGAAAAGTCAGTTCGAATCATGCATACTCTGACAAACAGTTTATGGTGCGCTTCTCGATGCCAAACCGTTTTTTGAAAGGGTATGCGGGTCTATGCTATCCTCCCGACGGAAATTTAAGCTCGATGATCTCAAAGAAAGTATGGCTGGATCTCTGTTCAAAGTGGTCTGACTCGGAAGAGTTCTAGATTCCTGGAAGAGACCAGTCTCCTAGATCGCTCAGGCTACATGTATCGCTGGATCCCAATTCAATGGGACCGGAGACCGCGGTGGCTTGCGCAGAGGCCAAGTGAGACCGAGCCGGCTAGACTGAAGCGGGCTTAGCTATGGCTGGCTCTCCGGAGCGTCGGATTTTTGGCAAATGTCGGATTGAGTTGTCACCATTTTCTTTTGGGTGTCGACTGCTGCTCATCCAACGCGATAGCTGGCAAAGTGAAAGTGACCTCATTCTGAGCGGGTACTTTGACCGCGACAACAACGCCTTTCGCTCAATATTATCCAGGTCAAGTTCGCCATGTCAGTGCCAACGTCACACAGCTTGCTTCTTCCGGCGGCCAAAGCTCTCTGATCTGGCCAGATCTGCCAATAGATGTCGATCATCCCGCAGCCTCTCATCATGTCTCAGCCGGGGAGTCTTGTCCATCAACAAGAAAAAGCTAGCATCATTGAGCGATGAAAGAAAAAAGACAGGACCGGGAAGACGGTAAGGATAAAGAAGCAGGATCCGGATGCGATTGAAGAGTAGACAATCGTCACTGGTCCCCACTCGAGCTAGCCGTAGATCCTGAACGGAGGGCTCTTGGGAGGACCCCGGACTGGCCTTGGCCCCAGACGGTCCGACGCCGCGGCTGTCCGAGCGAACCCTCCAGGCTAGACTGGCCCGCTGCTGATTCGCCAATTCCCCTCGTTGGCCGTGGTGGCCTGCAGGGGAGCCGATGCTACGAAATAGGCGGCTTTATGTAGGTAGGTGTGTGTGTGTGTCTTGTTCGTCCCTTCATATGTCTCCCACCCCTAAAACATGACACCGAAACCCAGGAGAGGAAGGCCAGTCGTTAGGCAAAACCCCCGACACGTTGCGTCTCTGCGATAAAAGCCGACAAGAGGGTTGGTTGTCCATGTGACATTTGCTTCCTAGCGGACGTAGCCAAGGAATCCACCCGCACAACCCCTTTGTGATTTATGATGATGTGATGTATGTTTGCTTGTCACCTTTTCGTATGAAGCCAAGGAATACGACTTTGAAAGGGGATGGGGAAGAAAAAGGAATGGGGTAAACCACCCCCCCCCCAAAAAAAAAACGCTCCATTTCGAACACATCCAAGTCAATCTGCATGCTGCACGCTCGGGGTCTCTCAAAAACGTCTAACGCTGCAGAAGGGCAAAAAAAGAAGCAACGGTGGGCGGCGACATGGAAGAAAAAGAAACAAAGTCCGCAGAAGCAAAAAACCAAACATGACATGTCCATAGAAGAGGAGCAACCTTGCGTTGGTCGAGGAGTACGCGTGTTTGCCATTTAATTTTTAATTATCCAGGGCGTTTTAGCGTTTTCTCTTTACCTGTTCGCACTTTGATCGGCTGATCGGCTTGTGGAGCCAGCCTCTCATCTGGGCGGATGAGTTGGGAATCTGAATCCAGTCTCCATCATTCTGAGGCTAGGATTGCGAGAGAAGTCCAAGAGATTCAAAGGGGACGTGACCACCTCAACTCACGTACACACAAATACGCACACACACGGATACGCACACAGAGATACATCACATATAGCCGCATACTTTACCGTAGGGTGAGGGGCAAGGTGGCCTCGAACCTTGAGGCCTTCATCTCAATGCCAGCCATGAGCGATCTTGACCGTCTTTGTCCAGGCAAAACGCCAGTGCTATCTCCATCAGGTGAAACAACTTAACAAGTTTGCCAGCAACAAAAAAAAAGGGCACTTGATTAGCCATGTCCTCCATCCCTCTTCCGGAACGCCCATACCACGTGTGCAGGGGCCCCGGTGCTGACGGCTTTCTCGACGGGTTCCAAACTGCAGGGTGTGGCGCGCACCACTTTCTGGAGCCACTCAAACACCCCCAGTCGAGTTCATCTCTAGAACAGCTTGACTTTGGAACCATTTATCTTTGCTCCGTCTCCCCCTCTTCCTTCTTGGGTAACTACCGCTTCCGACGTCTCTAGATCGTTTCCCATTCATCCCGAATGACTGGTCTTATTTGACAGTCCGCCAACTCCTCCTGGCCAACGGCTGAGATACTCCGATCCGAAACCTACCACTTGCGAGCTGGACTTCGACCTGCGGAATTCGAAGGTCCCTTCCCCCCCCCGAGTATGCAAACAACGACGGCCTCGATTTCGAGAATCCCGATTAATAATGGGCGGCTCCTTACTTGAATTGCTCGGCAAAGCCGACAACCTCAATGACCCTGTGCCGGTTCTCAACCAGCGACCAGCGGTCCTGGCTATGATTGTTTCTTTTCTGGTACTTGCTACCCATCAAATACGTCCACGCAGGCGGCAATTTCTAACTTGGTCCCCCAGCTTGTCGCCTGGATTTGCGGTACTTTTCGACTCTATGTTCGATTATGTATTGCACGATGTCCGGGCTGGGATGATTTCTTTGTTGTATTATCTATGGTAGGTGATGATCGGGTAACAACCTCGTGTCATATCCAGTCTTTAACAACGTTGTATCCACAGCTCACCAGCTTGCTTTTATCTATCGCGACTTGCGTCGGTAAGTGATCTCGCCCTCTCCCGTGGGCTTACTCTGCGCGGCCTGCTGACTCTTGAACACAGCCACGGATTATGGATTGGGAAAGCACTTTCTCTTACTCGGAGTGAATGGCATGCAAGCCTTCATCAAGGCCTTTTACGTCTGCAACGGCGCATACCCGATGGCAACAGCCCTCATAAAACTGGCCTTGCTCTTCCAATACCTACGAATGTTTGAAAACAATACGAAATCTCGATTCGTTACCATCGTCGTCATTGTGATCACCGCGCTATGGGGTATAGCGTACTCTTTTATCGCCTGGGTCCCCTGCATCCCCGTATCGGCCTTTTGGGACCTTGCATCGACGACCGAGACCCGATGGGGGTTTGGCTCCCACGACCCCGTCATCTTTGCGCGCAGCTTCGAGAGCCACGTTGGAATTAACGTGGCGTTGGACCTGATTGTTTTTGCGATACCTATTCCCCTGTTTTTGGAGGCTGGGATTCGGACGAAGTCGCGCTTGGGCTTGCTCGGTCTGTTCACCATGGGTGTTCTGTAAGTTTTTCACGCCTCACACTATCCTTTTCCATTTCAAGCACTCTGTTTACATATCCACGTTACGTTACGTTCCCGTTGCTGACTAGACTTTGCTAGTGTGAACGTTCTTGGAATCTTCCGTCTCATCGGCATTTCACATACAAGAGCGGGCACGTACCCGACCCTCGATCCCAGCTGGTACGGCTGCGTGCCCATTGTCCTCGCCGCCGTCGAAATCAACATGGCGACGATTTGCGCCTCGCTGCCCGTCTTCTGGCCCACCCTGCAAAGTAGCCTCGGCCAAATCTTCATCACGAAAGAAATCGAAATCACGTCCGAGATCCGCCGTCTCAGTAGCATCCGAGACGAGGAAGGCACCGCCGAGCTGTGCGACTTTTCATCGCCGCAAAAGCCGAACAAGGCGTATGGGGGAGCTGAAAGCAACGTGACAACAAAAGTCGAGGTCGAGTCAAAGGGGCTTCACTCAAAACAGAGCGAAATATCACTGTTTTCTGATGGGTTCAAGAGGATAGCGGACGATCAAGAGTCACATGATCGTCTCGTACCGTCGCCATCACGTAGTCGAATGAGGTCATGATCAATAAAAAGTCATCATTTACGTTCACATATGAACTTGGGATTTAGGCATCTCAACATCGGACCAAGTGTAGTGTTTACATGTAGTATTCGAGAAGTTTTCAAAACGCAAGTTACAGTATACAGCGGGCGTGGTTACGCATCGCTGTCTCGTTCTCCCGCACGTACGTATCTCGGCGATGAGACGAGGCTTCTTTGTCGCTTGGGGATTCCTTCCAAGTTAACAACGGCGCAATTTTGCCGTTTTCAGCGACTTGAAATCGCAAGCTAGGACAAATGGGGATATCTCCGCAGTTAGTTCGGCAGAGAAACTTTATCCGGGTACATCGACGCTGTGGCTGTCTTCATCTTTTGTCTGTCAGACCCCCAACTGCAAGGGCCCGCGCTCGCGTTCGGCGCATGGAACTTCTCCTCCCAAGAGCAGAGGCGGCTCAACCCAAATTCGACACACCATGACCGCGGCCGACGGTAGCTCATCAGTCCAGGTTGGTTATTGGTTGCTATCCGACAGACTCGTACGATCGGATGTTGCGACTACAGAAAGTGCAGGTGCCGTTGTTACGCACTAGACCTTAAATGAGCTAGTACAGTACATGTAGATATCCAGGAACTACTTATACTCGTAGCAAAACGGACCACCATTGATATCCAGTACATCGCTGATCAGGATATGCTCTCTAACGTTGGGGACCTTTAGAGGCTACTGCAACGTAATGTTCTCATACAGGCACGTCACTAATGCAATTGAACGGGTACGCGAACATGGTATCCGGGCCGCCGATGATGGTCCAACAGCGGGGCCTGTTACCATTGATATTTTGTTAATGCTGGGGAAAACGAGACGCCGCTTGTCCACTTGTCTTGTCTGGTCTGTTCACACATGGCACTGAAACAAAAGTCAAGTTTGTGAGCAGAAAAAAAAAAAAACAGCTCACCTCGCCGCTGCCAGTCATTCCAGACCTTGTCCAGTGCGCCGTAGACATGATAAGTAGGAGAGTGGATCGCCGGGGGAGGAGTACATGTCCGCATTCCGGGTCCAAGAAATATATTAGCCTTTCTTGAAGTTGATGGAAGGCAGAGTAGGACCGAATGGGCAGAAACATCAACGTCTAATTCGCACGTACCTTCCCCAATAGCACCGCCCATACCAAGATGCGTGCCCGCGCGGAGAGTTAGGCCATCGAGCTCGGAGCTGTAGCCTTGGATTTGAGAGTTGAGTTCGCCGCAGGTCGGCGCCGAGACAGCGCGGTCTCTAACTTCGTCTCTCAGGGCGCTGTCGATGATGGTGGGACTGAAATCTCGACGCAAGCATTGGGGCTGCGGTTCGACTGAGGAGCCTGTAACCGGGATGTGAAGTCAGCAGAGGTAGAATAAAAGGAGAAAACTTGGGTTATGCGGAAATTCCCAACGCACCAAAACCCGTGGGGACATTGAGATTCGCAAAACGCCTTTACTGGACACATCGTACTCCACTTCTCCCCGGAATTTCCGTGGGGTCCTTGACCAGGAACTCCTGGTCATCACTGATGTCCTCGAAATGCCGTCCGTTACCACCGAATCCATTGATATTGTCAAAGATTGACGAGTTAGAAAAACCGTCGGCTGTTTTATAAAGGCTCAAGTCCCAGTAGGGTAGGGTTACTTTGTAAGAGCATTTGTTCCGCAACTCAGACTCGAAGAGTACTCGAAGAGAAACATCATCCACCTGCCAGCTACAGTCGAAGTATTCAAGGCGAGCATCAAAATAAGTTTAGGGCTAATGCTTGCGAGAGAAAAGGCCTCTAAACGATATTAGCACATTTAAATCAGCGACTGGTCTCAAAAGGCTGATTGAGTCGATTCATCTTGAAGTGGACTTGTTCCGTGACGTAGATGTACATTCCCTGCAAATCATCGTAGTCATTGCCCTGCCGACCCCAGAGACACCTAGCATTTAATAGCATCACACAGCTTAGTCTCTGCTCCAAGGATAGTTGTCACCACTCGTACCTGATTAGAGGCTTCCGACGGCAGCCGGGACTGGTGTGATTTGACGCGGCACCGGCGGCGGTCCGGAGGCCCGCCAGGCCGAGGATGGCCGGAGTCACAGTCTTGAAGAGACGCTTAGCGAATCAAAAGAAAAAATTGGAACGGAAATTTCCGAGCTGGACTCAGCACTAGAAAACCTTCATCTCATTCTGTCTGTAGCTTTGAAAGCGATTTGTTTTATATTTGAGGGGCCGCTACATGGTTTAAGTTCTCGGACGCGACTGCGGAACTGATAATTATTTCGCGGCTGCAGGAAACGAGATTGAAAGACTGTTTTTTGGGTGTTTCGATGCATCTTTGTGGCACAATCAAGCCCCAGCCAACAGCTGAGCTTCTCCTTTGAGACTTCCCAATGGCACCAAGATGTAGATTGCAATGCGTTTACGACCTCAAGGAGACCTACTTTCGGGCTTGTGCCTCGCACGGGGGCAAGGCGTGTCCTTGGGCTGGAGCTCTGATAGTCACTGACGATCGATGGTTCGATCGGATCATGTTGTGGAGGTTACTTCGGGACCCGCTGCTAATGCCTGCTTTCTAACGCTTCCAGATCCTTGCCATTAAGATTTCTACAGGGGCCTTGCTCACAGGAGGCGTGTCCGACCACGCTAGAATTAAACTATTATCGCCTCCCCCTCAAGGGCAGAGAGATGAGTTGAGGAAATTTGAAGATTGGAGAAATGAGGTTTACCTCAGGTAGAATGGTTGTGGAGAGCCCAAAGACCCTTGATTGTGATTTATTAGACTTTGATTAGTGCAGCAACTCAATACTGCACAACTCAGGGACCCAGCAACGGTCAGCCATGAACCACGCCAGGGCCAGGCCAACGCATTTCGTGTACATGGAACACAACCCAAGCCGAATCTCGGACCCGTAGGGTCCGAGGGGGTCCGAAGGGAAATGTCTTTTCTTGCTGCGCGGAGTCGAGAGCTGATGATAGGCTGTAGCCCTCTCAACAGTGCAAACATGTTTTGGGAGCCGACGCCATTCTAGGGGTCCCGGATCTCCGTTTATACGGGGCAATGGAACCTCATTTCGAAGTGACGAGGCTAATTTGACTCGACGTCAAGACAGACGTGCTCAACACGGACGGCTGATCGTGGGGAGAGAGTCTGTAGATCGCTCTTTCGACTACTCTTCTTGAAACATGACAACAGCATAGAACCAGGTCGAGCAAGTCTTCCAGACGATTCAACAGTTGGCTTTTATCCATTGCGATTGAAACTGCCAAAGTTAGGGGTGGCTGCTGCGGTGAAATTAGGGAACTCACCGCTGTTGCACTTTTGGCGACCTGCTGCATGCTTGAGACTTTTTATAATGCTACCCCAGGGCTTAGCCGTGAAAAAAATCAATTGTAAGGTGTTGGAGACGCGAGCAATGAATGCGGAAGAGCCGGAACCCCAATAAGAGGCACTGAATGAGAAAAATTAGAAAATCGGGAATGATGCGAGAGACTGTCACAGGGAGGCATGTGCAGTGAAACCTATTTAAGTTGACTCATGCTTCTTTGACAGTTACCCGATATCACTATTCCAACGATTGAAAAGTGCCCACTTTCTAAGCAGCGAAGCGCGGGTCATTATCCTTTTCTCTTTTATACGCATCAAACTGGGCCAACTTCCGTTGCAAAAACGCCTTTTTCTTCCCCAGAGTCTCGCTGTCCAAAATGGCCTCGCCCAAGCCATCTTTATGCATGACCTCCCAGTATAACTCGCCAACATCGAAGCTCCTCCGCGATGCGAGATTGAACCAAAACCGCCCACTGTCCCAGGAATCCCGCATCCGAGCAGAGAGACGTGTCTCCTCCGCTGTCACTTCTGACTTGGCTTCGGCCCGCTCCATAGCGCGAATGAACTGTTCTTTCCGTGGTTCGAACATAACCAAGAACTCGTGAAGGGGAAGGTCGTCTTCGCTAATCCATATGGCCGGTTGTTTGAGCAACAACCACCAAGGCAGGTCATCACTATACTGCGCTGGCAAGGCGTTGGTAAACTCCAAGTCGAGCACTGCCGTTATCCGGAGCGTTTCCGGATCGACAAGCATGTTCGTCGGCCGCAAGTCATCACAAAAGAGCCGGAATGGTCCAGCGTCGTTGACTGTTCCCATCGTAGGAACCATCTGTGCGAAGCAATGGCGTGCGACGAAATGCTTCCAAGCGAGATCGTCGTCATCAGCGGCGATATTACGCTGCGCCTCAAGGTGTATTTGAAAAGACTGCGCACATGCGGCGAAGAAGTCACTAGCGCGATCGAATGGCGCTGCTGAGGTGAAGCGGTCAGGGGGGTAGCCGCCGAGAGTGACGACCTCGTTCATGTCGTATGTCAAAGGTCGTCTGATGACATCCCACTGGCCAGACGTCGCGTTCTGGGAGATAGCGCCAATGCGAGGGAAGTTGTGATGCGACAGTTCCAGCAGAAAGTCTGCAATCTGCTCATAGATGAAGTCAAGCTTTACATTGTCGATATTTGGATCCAGAACAATTGGGTCCTTCTTGTTCTCGTTTTGCTGTTGCAGAAGGTCGCTCAAGACCTCCCCTTCCACGAAGTCCATGATGATGAACGGCCCAAAGTGCTGCGGACTGTCTTTGGTGAGGCCCCAATCGCGCACAAGAGGAACGGGGATGCTGGTTAGGTCACGAAGATATTTCATAACCATCACCTCGTTTTCAACTTTTTCATCTCGCCATGGCTCGTATATGTTTCCTGGTATAGGGAAGCGAATGACGACGCGCTCGTCGCTGTCGTCACGTTTTATAACCAGGCTGATATTGAATGAGCCATTCAAGAAACCAGTATAGTTCCCCGTTCCGTTCCAACCAAGTCTTTTTTTGACGAAAGCCACAATGTCTTCTTTGGCTTTGATGAGCTTGAGGGCGAACGCGAATCGTGCCTCGTCGATATTTTTTCCTACAATGAGGTCAAAGGGTGCCATTTTGACGAAATGAGTTAAGGAGTTGAATCGTGCTGAATTTCCGCTTATATTTGGAGAACGAAGAGGAAACTGATTTTAAAGGCTGTAGTAAGGAAGGAGGATAAGGATGAAAACAAGAAATGTTGGTTGGTTTGACCTGCAGAGGGGTGTTTATAAGTGGTGCAGCATTAGCCCGCACACCGCCTCTCGAGCAAGGCGGTTGGCGCATGCGCATGGTTAGCTTATTACTTAACCTGCCATGTCACTCTGTTCATGTAATTACCCTTGTTGTTCTCAAAAATGTTGGTTCCATGAACAAAGGCACAAAGGTTTTGATCAGACGCAGCCAACACACTATTTTCACAATTTTAACCAATCATATCCGTTTGACACTGACTTAATCGCTCTAGACTGGCATTTTTGTTTGAGAAGTCGCTAGCCGAGTTCAGTAATTATCTTGACCATTTACCCAGCACTAGATCTCAATAACAAAACATGCTTGATTGATGCCCTCTCCCATCGTCGGCAACAGGCACACGCTTAGTAGGATCATCCTAAGCGCTTCTGTCCTCGTCAGCGTGGTAAATGAAGAGGGTTGAGCCCGACTTACTTTTTTTTTACCAATGTTAACAAACTACGCCTGTCAGATGCCTTTGCCGCGACGTGCTTGAGAAGTTGTCCCGGCATCTTGGGACATGTTCCTAGCCGCTTCTGCAGCTTCTTTTTCATCAGCTTCCTTTTGACGCTTGTCCATAGCCTCTTGCCGCCTTTTCTGACTCTCTTTCCCCCACTCTTCCAGTTGTTCCATTGTCGAGGTTTCGAGAATCTTGCCGCCTGGTCTTTTGTCTGCCATGATAAGCGCACGGAGGGTCTAGTATAGTGCTTGTTGAATGTAAAGACTTTCAGGTTGTACAGGTAGAAACAATATCAGATATCTGCGCTGTAAATAACACAAGGATGGAACTGTAGTTCAAGTTGTTTTTCATACGCCTCTCTGTGATTGCTTGTCCGGGAATCAAAATATATAAGCAAGTTCCTAAGGGCGCGGCCAATCTATCACGCATTCCACCGCCAGAACTGCCAATAATGAGCGTTGTCGTTGTGTGCTCCAAGAGAGGTTGGCAACAGCGTTCAGAGCTCTGAATCCCGTCAATAACCGTGTCTTGAGCAAGCAGCTGCCCTTGTTGAACGATGGACATGTTCGTGATGCATTTACTTTGGGTGGGTTATAGATTTTCACTTAACAGCCGCCCTCGTAAGAAGAAAGGCGTGTTGGTGATATATGCACGTTGGTAAATGTTCGGTGACTAGAAGACAAAAGTTGCAACGAGTAGCGAACCATCACCGCCCTCTCTTACCCTTTTGTTGGAATATTGTATGAACAACAGTTTAGTTTAGCTGGCAATGGCAATTTCATGTCTGCGTTGGCGAGATTGAGCATATCGAAGACATAGCGATTTGATTTGCCAATTCTGCATAAGGAACCAACGCCATATCAACTAGCGCCATATTTCTCTTGCGCATGCTCACCCGCTGGTTAACCAGCTTTGACACCAAAACCAGGATTTCTGTTGGATGTGAAACCCAGCAAAGAACCCTGATAAAATATTTTCTCCAACATGCCAAAGTCTTTGTCATGTATGACTGTGGCGCGGTAGGTCGCCCGCTAAAGAAATGGCGTCGTGTATCCTGAAGGTGTTATGAGCTCTGCGAGGTGACAAATTCTGCAGCTCAACAAGACACATGCCGCGACTGACCGAACTTGGCGGCTTGACCCCCATGATCTCATTGCGTAAATGAACATGTTCGTTTTTATCATTCACGATGAATTATGGTGATTCGATGTTTCACACATATTCCGCTTCTTTCTTCTTTTTTTGATGTTCTTTCCCACCTCCTTGTCCTCGAGTATCGAGACACCGAATGACGCCTGCGCTCGCACTCGACAGCGAAATCCACTCCATGGACTCTCCTGAATACTCTGCTGATAACATTTAGCACCTTAATATCACTCTGAATTTCTGAAAAATGGTCGTAGTTGGTCTCAGGCTCCATTTTAGAGTTTTCATGTCTACAGCGGGCCAACGATTTGCTTGCACTGTTAGCCTTCATGAGTGTTTCACTCTACATTTCAATAATCCTGATGGCAGAGAGAAATCAAAAGGGGCTGGTAGTTTTGTTGTTTGCAATCGGCATAGGGGATGTATCTGATACTGGTTTACGTCACTGGCTTCTTTATGGTGGTATAGACTGTCGAATGTCACTTCTATCGCCTTGCTGAGTGTAGCCCAATAGTGAGCTACTAGATAAATCCCTTTGACCTGCGAGTATTCGCTGACGCTCCCTATTCTAGCGATATTTGGAAGCCTTAATTCTTGCCACGCATTAGTAACGTTTCATCAGAGGCCGAGAATACAATGATGGCAGCCCACCAAGTAATAAGGCTCATTCTCCGTCTTTTGATTATGGGCTTACCTACTCAGGTTATCCGTCTTAAGATGATCTTTTCTCAACGAGCCTTTCAGGTCAATCTGGTCTCAACGTAAGGCTATTCGTGATGACAACTTGTTACATCCGCCTCGCGGTGTTGAAAACACTACTCTTCTTGAAAACACTACTCTTCCTGTATCCCAGGATACTTGGTCTTCCCTAGTTTTTTCAACTCTTGTTCTTCATAGTCGGGCCCCAAACGGCTTTGTGACAGCTTCAATTCTGATGCAAAAGCCTGGCTTATTAAACGATATATTTTACTGGGAATTTTGCTCGCAATCTAACAATGTGACATTGCAAGCATCACAAATAATGGTACACCTGTCAATATCCTCAGGACTTGGTTCCCAACCTCGCTTCAGATCCCAGCTACTGAAATAAATAGTACCACCATGACACCTCGTAGATATGATGGCAGTGGCCAAATCATATCAGTGTGAATTTTGCGTAATAAAGCAAATTGCCCCTTCAGATTCCTATACTTACCTAGTCATCGCTATCCCTTGGGCCACCGGGAGAATATTTTCTGATCCATCATAAGGTTCGCACATGTTTCTGTTGGTAATGATCATTCAGAGGCACCAAGTCATACCAGTCACGCATGAAGTATAGCTAGTCCTACTTAACATGACTGGTGCTGGTCCAGGAATGACTCAAGCTCCGGGACGCAGTATTTCACGTTCTATTGATACTCGATAGTGGAGAAATCTGCGTACTCTGTTTGGCTTCCTGAAATCATGATTCGGGGTCCGGACATCGAACCTTTCTGTTGGCTCATGTCGAGTTATTATTGCTTATATAGCTTGGAGACTCGATAAATAGGTCCAGGCGCAAAGATTTGTCAGCAGTAGTCAAAGTTTTCCTGTTGCCCTCTAAAGGGTGTGGTGGTGATAGAACGCAGAAGGAGGAGCGCCAGAGTTGGAAGGCGTTTTCTTCAATTAGCTCAAGGCCTATGTAATTATCTTGAAGCTGGTGCGCAAGATCGGGACAAAGAAAACATGATCAAAGATGCGCACGCGTACCTAATCCATCGGCTATGTTACCAATCAGTGAATTTTAGCTATAAACATCCACCAGTTTCTTGCCATAGAACATTTAATACATCGACTTTAGGTGTCTGGATAGATCTCACAGGACATATTGGACATTGCATGTGGTTTGCTCTGCTGCTTACACCTTGGGCAAGAAGTCAAAGAACTGGATCACTGTTTGAAATGACGTCGGCATCGAAATTTGCTAGAGAGACTTAGCAATGGGATTTTCATTTTCAAGCTCCAGCTAACAAATTCGGGTCCCACTTTGAAGGGCTGGCCCAAGGGTGTAGGCAAAAATAGCACTAAATTTACCTGCCAGCTGAACTATATATCCAACCTGATGTTGCCCACGAAGTGTACGTAAATGCACATGGAGGACTTGTAGCTTGGTTGCGCTTAAGTAGTACAGGTATCAAGAGAGGCGTCAGCTCTTGAAACCAACAAGCAATTAGTTACAAAGATCTAGAGATCGAGTTTAGGAAATCTGCCGCTCTCTTTCTTCCCCTAGCTGTTGTATCCTCGACGTTAGCCGATCCCAGATTGCGATATCCAATTGGCACATAATAGTACCACCCGAGCTCGACAACCTCTTTCTGATAAGGCCTCTCACCTTCAGACCTTGACCCGCTTCTATTATTAGACCCAAAGAATACAGATGACTTAAGGAAATTCATGTGTCTGGAGAATTGAATCAATCCCGTACGGGTCGTACCGGGCATTCCCTCGACTTTGGGTCCCAGGAGGATGACATGTGTAGAGGACTGGTCTGAGTTTGTTTTGACACGACCCTTAGCCTGTTGCCGTTTTCTGGCACAATGGCTCACAGCCCAGACTTGGCTCCAAGGGCGCATGCGGATGATCTCCATATCTAACGCCGATGCAACTCTTGCAGTGACAGGAGAGATTGAAGCTCGCTGAATGCTTTCAAATAGGTCTTCAGCAGTCATGATGAGCGCCGTAGGTTCGGATCTGGAAATCATGATGACAGAGCCGCATAAGTCGCCACCCCTGACGACCCAACTGCCGGAAGCTCCTTGGGCTGCGCAGAGCTGGTCAGCTAAGGTTTGAAATACTCCATCAAGTGCAGATTGCTTACCAAGAGGTTTTTCCATAATGATCCTTCGAGTTTCAAACGTAGCCTTGCCAATGTGGATGGGAAAGATGCCCTTCAGCAAATGACAGGAGCTACTTCTTTCTGGATCCAGAACTAAGTGCGCGTCTCCTTCCGATAGTCTATCATTATCGATCGATGACTGGACGTATATGATTTTTCCTGGTTGCTCCGTGGCACTATAGTAATTGCGAAGGCCTTCGAACCCTTTTCTGCTGAAAAGGGCAAAATCGGCAGTACATGTAGCATCTTCGGCAGTCAAAAGCTCAATTTCGCGATTGGCCACCAAATTGTCAGATGTAAAGTTTCCGTTGTTGCGTAATGGACCAAGCCATCGAGTCTCTGTGAACTGAATCGGAAAAACAGGCTCGACTGTTGTCCAAGAGCCGATTTCTAGTGAAAGGTCTTTGAAAGAATCTTGGTGATCTATGTCTTCGGCATTTGAACCCGAAACTTGGTCGTGTAAATACTCGTTTGAGCCGATGTCTTTGTCCTTCGTTTTTTTACTCTCTCCTTCTTCGTTATGATTTTCGTTCTCCGAGTCCGTATGGGTTGATGATTGAGAAGACTTGCTGAATTCGTCTGCCTCGTTGACGTCGCGCAACAAATCAATGAGGCCGTGTGCCGTTGTGACAAATGCAACGGTCTCGTTCTGGAATTCCTTGTCCTTTTGTTCCACAATGATAAGACCGCCAATGTGGCAAAGTCGATGTCGCTCCTGCTTCTCTCTGGATGAGCTAGCAGAGAGACGGAGACCACAAGCTGACGAAGCAAACTTAGGAGGTGAAACCTTGAACAAAAGATGGTGGGCAGATTCAATATGTGAATGGGTATTATATGGCGTAATAGATGGTTCGAAAACGTCGGTAGTTGCTAGTAAAGAGTCAAAATTGACTACAATAGGGACTCGGGAGCGCTGTTCGGCGCTAAACCATGATGTCTTTTTCAACTGTCGTTCAACCCTCCTGACTGTTCTCCTATCACCACAAGCAATTCTTATACATGGCTGGAGCTTGTAACAATTGTCCACTGGGATCAAATTCGCTCTCATGCGCAACTGTAAATCGATTATTGCACTTGAGCGTAAGACTCGTTCCGTCAGGATATCTGGCTTCAGCCTGTGTAGAGTTCGAGTTGCCTCTCCGAAAATGGGGTTCGAGTAATCAGTTGATCGGGGGGACATCCAATGTTCTGGTTTCATTGAGAGTAGGAACCCTTCTGGTCCGGGAAGGAGATAATCTGGAGCTCTACCATCAACTGTATGGACCAAGATGTAGGTTTGGTCCAGTTGTATGTGGGTATTGACAAATGTGTTGTTGAAGGCAATTTGAATCGAGTCTATATCGGGCTCTTGAGATGATGAAAGAGAGGGCGCAATTGATAGCTCTTCGACTAGATTCGGTTGCGGCACTTCCTGGGGCGACTGATCTGGAGGTGGATGATCCTGACCGGCCTCGAAGCGTAAACCTGATGGCACCCACGTTCTCAGTTGGGTAAACCAACCTTGCAATTTTTCAGTCAGGCTCATTGCAGGTGCTTTCGAATGTTGCGAGGTCGCTTGGGAGGCGGTCTTTTTGGCTGTTACCGGACCAGCTGAAGGCAGTGGCGGTTGCTGAAATGTGGCCACTGGCTTCATCATCTTCGAAATTTTGAAGTGCTGGAAATCTCTTTCATGGTATGCTTCCTGCCAAAAAGAAAATGTCCAAGGAGGCTAGAAATTTGTTCAGTTGTGTGTTAGAATCACAAATGCCTGACCCCCGAAAGGTGTATAGCAACGTTGCATCTGAGACCCTTTGGGGCTGAAATCACAACTAGGCAGATTTAATGTAGCCCATACTCTGATTTACGCAGATGTGTGACAAGTATTACTCCCGGCGTGTTCCTGTGAGCCTGGTGTGATGGCTACTTGATCATGCATATGTATATGCAGTCCTCCATCCAGTCAAAACGGGTGTGGTAAGACAAGCTGACACCCAGCTGACTTGGCAGCACCCAAGGTATTTATGCTATAACGTCGTCCCCACTGTCCTGGAATTTAATATTTCCTGCACCCGTGAATTTCATCGATGCATACTGATAGCCCACCGAGGTGATCTGCTTAAATCGCGTCGGCGATGATGATACCATTTACCAAGATCTGAAATACCTGACCATTACCTTAGCTTTTCCAAGCGATGAGATAAATATTTCACAATGAACAGATTCAGACCTGGGGAGACTCCGCCACAAGCTCATGCGATGCTTCAGCACCTGTGGCCACAGCTGCCTACCTCGGATTTCCACTTGGAAGATTACGAATGCTGCCTTGATTTTTTCGACAAAGAGATATCTAAGATAAAACGGGCACCACTTCACCATACCGATCTTTTAGCTGACCGTGTTCCGGAATACATGGACGTGATGGTGCGAAACGCAGTGGAATCAAAGGTCCACATCAGCGAAGCACTCGGTCTAGGCTCGACGACTGTCACGCAAAACCGTCAGGGTACAGGCGGAAACTCAAACTTGATACTGGGAGAGTCATCCTGTGGTCCCCAAGTCATCGATGAAATTTCACGAAGTCTCGATCTGATCGCCAGATTATGGCTCACCATCAACTTCGACACGCTACCACTTGGGCAGATGTATCCTAACCCAACTCAGGTTGCCTGGGAGGATAACAAGAGCCTTAATCAAGCGATCAAAAGTCAATTTGCTATGAATCATGCTGATTCGAACCACTCCGTCGAATTGCATCGTGGTAGAATTCCATCTGCTTTCAACATGGCAATCCTCTGCGAACGATACAACTTCTCCATTCGATGGACTCATAATTTGGCTGATCATTTACGGATTGACGGAGAATCGGGTAAAATAACCGTCACGTTATATGAGCACATTGTGTGTCTCTGGAATCATTTGCAGTACTCGCCAAACTGCCCCATACCGCAGAGTCTGCTCGAAGAAACATTAGACTCTCTAATTCTTTTATTCCCTTACGAAGACCCTGGAACCATGAAATTCCTTAAGAGAGAGAATAAGAACTTTTGGAGACTAGGGCGTTGCGGCCGCACAAGAAAGGCCGAGTTGGACGACTTTTTCCACTGGAAACAAAATATTCGGCGACTGCTCAGGGAGTATGACCAGCCACCGAGAGGCACTCAGCAACTCCGTCTTGATAGGGAGGGCCGGAACTTCTTAGAGTTCTCCACCTTCTGGACGGCACTCGCTGTTGCCATCCTGACTATACTTGGCATTGCTTTCGGGACGATCGGAACTGCCTACGCCATCAAGGCTTATAATCTGTCCTACAAGCAATACGTGCTGTCACAAAAGCAATACGAGCTTGATCTAGTTCAAGCATGCGCAGATCCAGAAGCTGCCAAACAGTGGCCAGAATTCTGTGGGAGCTAGGTAGTACACTGGCGAGGTCAATAAAGCGCCCACAATTCAATCCCCTTTCACGGAGACTCCTTGACAGTCAAGATAATTAGCTGGTGGTGATTTAAATGGTTTGTCTAATCATCGTCATCATCATCCCCGCCCTTTTTACCCCCTTTACCCTTGTCATCATTCCCGTCCTCCCCTTCACGGAACGCATTCGGAGTCACCGCAACCGCTCGATTCGAACCAGCGACCGGCTGTCTAGCTGTCGCGGCTACAGCATCGAATCGCGCAGACTTTGCGTTTCCAAGCCGAGCGGTGAATGGACCGAATCCTCGTTCGTGGAAGCCCAGAGTCGCTCCAGGAGTTCCGGGGTTTCTCACCGTCTTCTCCGAAAGAGCCCATCCCATGACCGCGTCGGCATTTGTAGCCTCTGGATCGATCCCCAGTGTCGCGTCCAGACAGTTCTCGCAGAGAAAGGTATAGGTCAGAGAGGTCGCGTTGACGGAGACACCCTCTGCAATAGGCCGAACGGCGAAGTTGCCCTTGACTTCGGGCGGATTATCCTCGTTGGTGCCTTGACGGAAGGTAGCCATGACGCCCCCCCGGCCATCCGGCCATGCCGCGAGGAAGAAGTTCCCCTCCATGTCGCCGGTCAAGCCCATTGCGCCCCAGCCTGCGCCGTTGACGAGCGGGAACGACAGTTGGCCGATGAAAGATGGTGAAGTCGTCAGAGGCAGAGCCATCGCGAAGGCGAAAGAGGTGCGGGCGCCAAAGAATCGTTCCATAGCCAGGCCTGTGGCCTGGTCTACGAAGGGTGCGCTCTGCTGGGCCGGCGACGAGGTAGGGTCTTTAGCTGTGGCAAGGATGGCGATGGAACAGAAGAGAAGAATAGAAGAGAAGAACGTAGGCTTTAGTAACCGCAGGGACAACGGAAGTTTGAAAGACATAATGATATCTTTGAAATAGGCTCTGTATTGATTTGAGTGGTTTTGATTTGCCGGCGAACCAGCGCACGACCGAGTTTGATAGATAATATCAAAAATGAAGGCGCGTTGGAGGTTGAAGACATTTTACTTGAAACTCAGTAGTAGGAAGGATATAAAATGCTTTATATGGGATTTTCATTCTTATTCTTTTCATTCAATTCTTAGCCAAGGCGCTACCAAGATGTGTCAACTCCGTCTCATTGAAGCATATAGGAGTTGATGAGGCCATGTTTGAGCCAATATTAGCACTAATACAAACTTGATCACATAACAAAAAACAATACGACATATCACAGTCAACTTCTCAAGGGGGCTGAATTTAGCAATCAGACCCAGGATGTTCTATTAATACGTCAATGTTGTGTGGTAGGCAAGTCGTTTCGGGTTGTCTGGGGTAGGGCCTGGTCGCGCATCATCCGTGATGCGAATCCAATGGAGCCGGTGCGGAGCCCCGTATTCCATTCGTTTCATGACCTCAAGGCAGAAATAAAATCACGAGGAAAAAGATCTGAACTTCTCAATTCCTCTCCCAGTGACAAACCCAAACAGCGATCCATTTTCAGAAAGGATGTCATGAATCAAGAGACCATCATAGAAGCTTCATAGTTGCAAGTAGGGGCACCTACTTCGGTAGAAGTAATCTTGGCCACTCATCGCGAAGTACCAGGCGCGAAGAGCCATTTGAGACCGGCTTACTTGACCTGAAATCGAGTTTGAATAAGATTTACCGTCGCGTGAAGTTACATCGTCGACTCGGAACTATAATTCTCCAATCTTCACCATGTGTCGATGTTGGTCACCCCGCCAAGACCAGCTATAGGATATTTTATCACCCAGATGTTCGAAAGGTACATCATTCGTCGCGAAGCATTCAGCATCAAGTCGCCTTGTCTGTCGTGTTGAATCCAGCGATACAGTCCAGTCTGACGAAAACGCAACCCCAGAGATGTCTATCCAGGCCCATTAGCAGGACTATACATCGACTGCCATCATTCAAACGAAGAAGAGCAAGAGTGAACAACGGTGACTTTGGCTTTTAACACCACATTACACCTTGACAGAAAAGATTTGCTCGAAAGGGACCTCGGATCTGCGTGAGGTATCACCTTGAGATGATTTAGGTCAGTGTGTATTTAGTCGCAAAGCCAACTGGGCCGTTCCTGATTACCTCAACTCACCGAATCTCTTGCCAGGATGCTTTTAGAACAAGCACAGACGACAGTCCACGCTGGGAATGAACAAGGGTTCAGCTTCTGAAAAGAATCCAGACCCCAAATTGCTGTATGGAGCCCCGCCGGTTGGGCTTCCCCTCCCCAATAAGCTAGGTAACCCAGTTCGTCTGGTCTGGTCGGACCAGGGTCAGGCAGGGGCAGTCTCAGACCTCGTGTCATCTTGCACAACCTTTTGGTGCTGTCAGCCAGCGCAGAGTTCCTGAGGCTTTTGATAACCTTCGCGCCAGCCGTTCGATAAACTTCGCATTCGCTGTTCAAGACGTCGTAACTTAGCAAAGAGGGCCAATCAAGATGCTGCTCGCTTCAAAGATACGGGGCATATGTTTGATGGATTTGGATTCGGACTTGAGTCTATTCTTGCACCAAGAGACTGAAAGAGACCTCCATTTAATGGGAAAGTGTTGTGTTCGCCGAATTCGAAAACGTCCTGAGCAAAAGGCTCTCACGCTTCCTGCACCGGGATGGGCAGTAACAACGCATACTATGAGCGACATGTACTCAAAGCGAGCCTGTCTCCTTGGGGTTGTACACACCCCATGCTCTGTATTCAAAACAGAAAAAACAAAACCGAATCTGGCGAGGAGCCAAGCTGGCATTCACGTGGGTGGGACGTCTTTTGCTTGGGGATCATGAGAGAGTGGAAGCAGATTCTTGGCATCCCCGCCTAGGAGCGGGTTCCCTCCCATGCGGCGTTGTGGCAGAGTGGTCTAATGCGCAAGACTAGAAATCTTGTTCCTTCGGGAGCGTCTGTTCGAATCAGGCCAACGTCGATATCTTTTGTCCTCTGCGATACCTGGTGTCGTCGACTCTGTCCGACGTTCGACTTTTGCACTTTGCACCTCGAATTCTGTGCGTTTTCGTTTTTGGAAAAGTGGAAACTCTGTTTTTTTTTGTTAATGTTGTGTCTTCCTTTGCTGATAACCAAAAAAAGCCACTGACCACCCTTCTTTAGGTAAGCGCATCTCCCTCAACTCAGCTCTAGCCAACGTCTCCGTCTATCCATTTGCAGGTCCCACACTCACCGCGCGACTAAGAGCCTCGGCATACCCAAGCCAAGCATGCCACAATGTTTAAGGCTGCCAATGTGCGGGTATGCCATGATGAAAACAAACTTCAAAGAGGCCCGCACCATGGCCAAATATGGCTCAAAATCCGTCGATTCGCCAGACGGCAGTAATTCCGTCCTGCCCCTGTTGAGGGGGTTTTCGATGCGCGGCGACACCACCTCATTGCCAGCGCATCGGGAAAAAAAACGCACCAGAAACAAGTCACCTTCCACCCTGGAGCGGAAACTGACAACCCTTTCCTATGAGATAAGGAAAGTGAGGCTGCAGAGCTTGCCTGAAGTAGGGAGGCAACCACCAACGTACAGGGGAAC